GCTGCTATGCGCCTGTATTGGAACGTGCGGGCGGCTGCTATGCGCCTGTATTGGAACGTGCGGGCCGCTGCTATGCACCTGTATTGGAACGTGCGGGCCGCTGCTATGCACCTGTATTGGAACGCGCGGCCTGCTGCTATGCAACAGTATTGGAACGCGCGGCCTGCTGCTATGCACCTGTATTGCAACGCGCGGCCTGGTGCTATCCACCTGTATTGCAACGCGCGGCCTGGTGCTATGCACCTGTATTGGAGCGCGCGGCCTGGTGCTATGCACCTGTATTGGAAGGCGCGGCCTGGTGCTATGCACCTGTATTGGAAGGCGCGGCCTGGTGCTATGCACCTGTATTGGAAGGCGCGGCCTGCTGCTATGCACCTGTATTGGAAGGCGCGGCCCTATGCACCTGTATAGGAACGTGCGGCCTGCTGTTGTGCACTTGTATTCGGCCTGTTGCTATGCACTTGTATTCGAATGTGCGGCCTGCTGCTACACACTTGTATTGGAGCACGCGGCCTGCATGGTACGCACTTGTATTCGAACGTGCAGCCTGCTGCTACACACTTGTTTTCCAACGTGCGGCCTGCTGCTATGCACTTGTATCCGAATGTGCGGCCTGCTGCTATGGACTTGCGGCCCCAAAAACGGCAAAAGAAAGACTAACCTGCACTGCAGATCCCATGGGACAGCGCTCCCCCGGGACCTCTCGCATGCCACCAAATTTTGCTGGGCCCGATTGGGGGTGTTAGTCGGGGCCCGCTCCATCCTTCAGGAGGATAGAGAAAAGAGATTTTTTTTTTCCAGGCTGGGAGGCCAAGTCATGAATATAACCTATACCGCATTCTTCGGAGGCCGGCAGAGGCTGGCCGCTACCCGATCACACAGGCTGGCAGCATCAGCCAAAAGAAAATGAAAAACGCTGTGTCAGCGCTTCGGCCCCCCGTTGGTGCGGAGTTTGACTCTGCCTCAGCAAAAAGACGCTCGGAGGTAGTGGTGGTTTAAAGCGCTTTTGATGTGAGGCTGTCCTTGTGAAGAAACATCTATCAGGATAAGCTATGCAAAGCCGGCAAGATGGAAAGATAATGTTAATGACACAACATGTGCCACGAAGCCTGTAAGCTATTACTGTTTCGTCAACGTTCCAAAACACCCGAACAACTTCAAAAGAATTCAAACCCCATCTGTCAATCCTTCCCGCTGGGAAGCAATCAATGCTGTCAGGGTTCCATGGGCCATAACGTGGGGAAGCGTGCTGTCGATTTGTATTCATTTTTGTTTTGCCGGTGGAAAAGGATCTGGACTGATGCTCCCCAGAAAAGGAGCCAACTGAATAATAATTATAATAATAATAATAATAATAATAATAGTGATAATAATAATATAATAATGAAGAAGAAGAAGAAGAAGAAGAAAAGAAGAAGAAGAAAAAGAATGCAAATGCCCTCTCTTTGTCCGCTACCTATGCGTCTGATTTACCTCACATGGGTAAAAGGAAATGCCAAACAGTGTCTACAGAAGGTGCAATATAGAAAATCCTCAAAACCCGGCCTCAACTAGGAGTCACCTGAGTCTTCCCCCCTGGCCTCCACACTGGCTTACACTGGGATTCACCCTCCACTGACCATTGCAGCTTGGACTCCCAGGACACAAGATGTAATATCAGGAGGCGGCCTTAGGCTGGCATTAAATTCTCCTGCTTTGCTGCTTGTACCTGCATCCCAGAGAATCTTGTGATTATCCTCGATATGACTGTCTGCTAAACTAACAAGATAGTAAATAATAAACATCATGATGAGGATGTGTGTGGTATTCCCTCCTTTGGACCGCCAAGCATCCATAGCTGGGTTTGCACCTTTGCTTCCTGACTTTGAGAAAGACTCAAATTACCAAACTGGCTATGCACAATCAAATTGAATCAATCAGTTTGACAATGTTAACCTTAAGCGATTAGACTGCTGTCATGTGAACTTCACAAGCAATGACAATGGTAAGAAGATGATCAAAGGTTCAATACCCAATCGCCATCGCAAGGGTTGCCCCACATTTTTTTTGAAGCGTGAGCCTTAACTTTATGTCGAGCTCCGATTCAACCTTCGCTGTTCACATTGTTTGCGGTTTTCAGTTCAGTTGGAACAGCTCTGTGCTTCGGCCATCGAGTCGTGCGCAGACTGAGGCTTATGACAGTCAGAGTCTGGAGTTTATGGCGGATTTTCCTGTTCAGTCCATCTGAAAACAACTCTGCTCAGCCCCCTGAGTTGATGCCAGACGGCGGCTTATGACGCTTAGTAACAGTCTGGTCTCTGGAGTTTCTGCACTACTTTCCCGGGATTCACACCCGGCCGATTTTTGCACTGCTTTCCTCAGCAGTTGGGGGCCACATTGTATACTGGACAAATAGTCAATTGCCAAGCCTGGCATCCCAAGAGACGGGCGACCAGAGTCGTTCACCACATGAGAAAGCGGGAGATTTACCTCTCACAGTAGCGTTTTCCCTAATCTGAACCCCAGACACTCGTCCGCATATGCATGCAGTGTGTGTGTCCTCCTCTCAGATTGCCGTAATCTCCTGCGCTGCTTACAGTTCCCGGTTACCTTCCCAATTCCCCGGTACCACAAACTGTACCACTGTGAACGGTGGTCGAGCAGCTGCAATACGGAGGTGTCAATAGCCAATTGAAGAGCGCCGCCGCGCAAAGTCGGTATCTGACGTCAAATCTCAGATGTCGCTGGCCTTCTGTTTGCTGGGGCTTGGCACTGGTTGAACCAATTGCTCTCCAAAAAACTGAGGCTGGCCCGACAGGTCTACTACCGCCAGCAGTCAAAACTGAGCTAGCTCTCACGAGCAGTTGGGTTGATTCGGGTCCGGATACGAGGGGCCATGGATTGATAGTCATGCTCAGGTAGGCTGAAGTATATTCCACAAGGTTCCCACTTTCACCCCAGCTTACCTATCGGTTAAGCGATACACGACTTCCGTTGGAGGTTACAGGTTCAATTCCTGGGTAGTGAATTGCTCTGACTTGGGATTTCCTTAATGTTTGCAACTTGTAGCAAGTCACATGCTTGAAAGCAATACAATTGCCCCCGGTTGCGCTCCATACGCTCCATGTCATTTGGCTGTCCTTGTCTGTCAGTCGTGTTCCACTGGCTGCTGGGACTGCCTCTGTTATATTCGGCAACTATAGGTAACTTGAATTTCCCAATGGAGAGCGAAAATTGATGAACAGGAGACAGTGACTCATACCGTGATACCTGCATGCTATGGCCTTTGGCTGTCCATGTCTGTCAGCTGCATTCTACTGATTGATGATGGCTTTACCTGTTAAAATAGATTATTGTGGAGCTTTCCATATCCCGGAAAACAAAGCCCAGTTCAAACTCCAGGGCATTTTGAGAAAGAATTAATGAAGGGGAACTGAAGGACGTCTGAGAAAACTGGCTATCTTT